TCCTGGACTATTAAACATATTTTATTCAGAGGCCATTTTTGAGAGTTTGGCTGTTGAATTTCAGGAGAGTATTTCATTCCTTATTCTTGTATATCTGAAGAATCCACGCAGGAGGTCAAATTAATTAAAGAAGATTACCTCTTTTCTGATCTAAAGCATTCTTACTGCAACAGCAGGCAGATACAGTCTGAAATGGATCTTAGTGCTCAATCTGAGGTTGTTTCAGACTGTTTGTGGGATTCCAGGAAAATGCTAACTCTGGGTACAGGCACTGGGAAATGTGGCGGTTCTCTGGGGAAATTCAGCTTAATTTTTACCAGGCTCCTAACAGATGCTGATCAAATATGTTGGACCAAAACTGGAGTGTCTAAAGTTAGACTAAGTACAGATTTAGGAGTCTTACTAGATGAAGAAATCCTGACGTACGTTACTGTCTGTCTTCAGCTTCCATTTGACTTAGTGGGATTTGCATTTGATCAACAGCCTAAAAGGTCAGACATCTTTTAAATAGAAACACAATCTCAGTTTCAAGGACCAGGAAACTGTAGTTTAGGCTTTTAAGAGTCTTGCAATGTGTGGATATTATCTAAAATTGATTGAGGAAGGGAGAGAGGATGGTAAAACCAGTTGGTCTGCTTGAGTTTAGATTGGGTTTCTAACCAGATGTGGTAGGGGGCAGGGAGAAGGAGAAACCATAGTTTGCTACTTGGTTTTGTCCCAGATTAATTTTTTAAAAAAAAGTATTTAACTTGTTGTTTTTTGTTTCCTTAGATGTTATTACTAGAATGTAATCGTCTGGTTATGGCCCAAGAAAGCAAATTTCAAATATAGTATAAATAATACGTAATACAAAAATACGCATATTTTTGAGAAAGTCCCATGTCAGCATCTTGTCAACAGAACTCTTTTAGCACATCCGCGTAACATCATGCAAATTCTGTTGACTTCTGCGGTCAGTTTTTTTATTGTCAATAGGTTGCAACATTTAAGAAGTAACTTTAACTCCCCTGCTCACTCACGAGCATATTATAGCATCTATATACATTGTATATAAACATGACAACTTGGACTTGGCAGTTTACCAGGCCTTTAAACATTTTACTTAATTGAAGCCTCAGGAGTATTCTCACATGTATGAGACTATACTATATGATACGCATATATACTGATATGCAATATAATTAAAATTAACTTTTTGTTCTATTTTAGATAGCCATAGAATTATGTGTAGATTGATAAGATGTGCCAATTTGAATCTAATGTTCATCTTTTCAAATACATATTTTCCTTTAACTTTGTGAAATACTGTAAATTCACACTAAATTGGAAGCCCTGTGGCGATACAGCAAACAAATACATTTGTTGAGGGTAACATATGTTATTAAAGACAGTCTATTTTTCGCAACTAATAAACGAGCTGGAGGAGTTGAAGAACAGAAGCCTCATGGCAAGAAGCGGCACAACAACAGAGACGAATGCAGCATCTTGCACCTGGAGAAGGCGGCTGCCCATGGGTGCGGGCGGGCGGCTGGCTGGGTGGTGGCTCTGCAGGAAAGGTGCCGGGCAGTGTTGGTGAGCAACAAGCTGAGCTGTCACTAACCCACCCTCACGGTAACAGCAGCAAACTGCAGACTGGGCTGCGTTAGCAAGCGCGTAGCCAGCGCGAAGAGGGACCCATCTACTCGCTACGTGTGTGACTGCATTGGGGTGGTGTTTAGCATGGAGAAGAGAAGGCTAAGGAGGAATCTGCAGGCTCTTGCAACCTAAAGAGAGGGTCAGACTCTTTTCAGACATGCACAGCAAAAGGGGAAGAGGCAGTGTCACAGATAGCATCAAGTGAATTTCGTAAGAGAAAATTCTTTGTCATGATAGTGGTTTTTGAGACTTGGAACCGGTTGCCCACAGGTTGTGGAGTCTCCATCCTTCAAGACTTTCAAAACTTGCTTTGGCAAGGCCCTGGGCAACCTGATTGAGCTTAAAATTAGCTCTGTGTTAAAGAAGTGTTTGGATTAGATGAACTTCCAGGGTTACCTTCCAACCTTTTTTTTTTTTCTTTTTCCTCCTGTGATTCCGTATCAAGCTAAAAGCAAGATTTAAGTTTTCTTGTAGACCATTACTCACTTCTTAATGGGAATATGTAAACTGAATGGATTTCGTTCTAGATTTCATAAACTTCTCCTTCTGAAATGCCTTTAAAATCCTTAATTTAATGAATTGCTTGAATGTTCAGCTTAATCTTCTTCATGCTGTAGAAGCTGTACAAACTTAATTTTAAATTTTTTTGTTTGTTTTTGAAAAACAATGTTAGAAATCAACCTTATAGTTGGCTCAGAGGGCCTTGTCTGACTTGAACATTTATGTAGCTGTTGATGCCTGTCTGCTAATATGGCCATGCTGCTGCAGGTCTCTGTTGTAGATAGGCCAGCTCTGCAGCATAATCTTTCTTTTAGCTAGAAATACTTGCCATAGGTAAGCTTTGCTGTTGTAATACTCTTTACTCCATGGGATAATTCTATGTTTTGACTTGGTGCTGTTGGCTGTGTAAGGTCTATGGGTGCTAGTCGTCAGCTGAAACCAATGTCTCACCAAGTACTTAATCTTTGTGAAAATGAGATTTTATTGGAGCTGTTCTCTTTCTGCTGCATGTACTGTTGCTCCTTCTGTATAAAAATATTTAATTTTTTTAAAAGAGAAAGATGTATTTAAAGTCTACTGATGCATTCTAGTTCCATCATCTTTTATTACAGGATCTTCTGCTATGACACTGAGTAACAGTATAATACTTGAGAGCGTTTGTCTCCGTAAAAAATAGAGAGCTTTTCATGCAGAATTTAATGGTATAGAACCCAAAGCCAGCAGCAGCTCCCAGCTTTCCATGCTCATTGTTTATTCTCTTAAGATAAATCATTTGACTTCGAGTTTGCATTAGTGACGGATTAAGCTGCCAGTGTAAGCATTGTAGGATTGAGTATTTTGAAAGATGTGTGTAATTTTGTGAGGGAACTAAGCCCGCAAGAATCCGGAAGCAATGTAATGTTGCATGTGTTCAAATAATATTTTGCAATGTTCATGAGAAAAGGAAGTAAGTATTTAGAAAAGTATTGCTGAAATGGTAACAGTTTATGATTCTTAATTTTTGTTTACTGAAAATAATTCTTGATGCATGGAGCTTTTACTGGAATTTACATGAAAAGTTGATCCTGGAATTAGGAGAGAGACACTTGTGTTACTGTACAGCCAAAAAATGCCATTATTTATAATTGGGTAACCTTTCAATTTACTTTTGACAGTGGAGTGAAAATGTTTTGGTTTTAAGTCTCTGAGTTTGGGGTCTATTTATGAAACACTAAGCATCTTCAGTTTTTTAAAAAAATAGTAAGTAGTTCTCAGTTTCCTGCAACTTATGTCCATTTATTAAAAATGGAACCCATAAAATTTAGAATTTGAAATTATGATGTTCACCACCGTTCTTTAAAATGCTTTCTCTTTCTTAGTCCTCACTGTCAAATTATCATTCTCTTTGTTAACACTGTGGGGATGATGATACAAACTTTAAACATAGGTCCATCCTGGGGGATGCTAAACCTTCATAAAAAGGGAGGGGCCAACCACTGTTTACTCGACAAAACCAGCCTGGGTTAGGTGAACCTGCACATACAGCCCGAAGAAATAAATTCATAGTAAAATGTAGTATTTGTGCCAGCACTACTGAATGCTGGTTATTTTTTCTCTTAACTTTAATATTTTTTTCCACATGTAAACCCTACAGACTTTTTGGTCATTTCAATTCTCCTATAACTTTAATTAGCAACACGTTATGCACAGAAAACTTGAAGAAAGCACATTTAAAAAAAAAAAGTATCTTTCCGTAACATAAATATCCTTTGTGGCATTGAAAATTTATGCAGCTTGGCATAGATCTTGGTCTTGCTGGAGAGCTAAGTAGAAAATTTTGTTCTCTACTGCTTAGATGTTAGGTTTGTAAGATCTTTGTTTCTTCTTGTCTGTAAAGGTCTAATACGTCCTTGGTTAACACTGACATGCTTATGTAGCATGAAACACTTGTTCCTTAACTGGTTCAGATTTTTTTAAGATACTCTGTACTAATTTGCATGCTGAAGAAATAATTCTGATACTTGGATACAGATCAAAAATTTCTTGTTACAAAGACAAAGTTGATGAAAACAAACTTTAAACAAAAACATATACTGATTATGTATTTGTATTATAGAGCTTGGCAATAATGTTTAACTTGGCTACCTTTAATAAAAACTTAATGGGCAAATTTAATGTTACTGAATTTTTTTGTTTAAGAAACTTGGTAGGTCTGTAATCAGGTTTTACGTAAACTTGGTGGAAAATCAAATTAATCTTATACAGATGTTAAAAAATTCTTTCAAAGAATCACTTTTACATGTTTATGGATGACTTTGTAACAGGGCAAACTTAGTTGTGTTCTAACTGAAATAGTGTTTTGTACTATCTGGTATGAAAGGATAGTGCCAGAGGTGAAAGATGGTGAACAATGAGCTAGGTGAGTTGTCAGATACAGAATGGTAAAAAGCAGATTTCGCTTTTCTCTTAATTATTGCATTAGATTATTTAGCTGTCATTCCAACAGAATGATAAATTTAGCTGTAGCACAGTAATTCGGCAATGCAGCTGACAACGTTTGTTAAAGATTGCTGTCGTCTTTAAAGTAGTTTTGAATTAGACTATTTAGGGCAAGTGCTTTGAAACTGTGACTTATGATTTCTTTTATCCACTTATCCATTTAATCTATTAAAAAATTAGTTGTTGCTTCAGAAGTTTTAACGTAATGAGTTGAAAGCCATTCTTCTTTGCGTCCTACTGAAAAATTTGACCAGACCATTTTGTTCATATTCCTGGGAAATTTGAATTAGTTTAGAATGCATTTTGGTTTGTGTTCATTCTGAATTTAGATTTCTGGTTTTGTCTGAGGCTATTACATCATTAAAATAGCTGCTTTTTCTTCACAGGCCTATGAAGAGTACACCAGCAAACTAGATGCTCTACAGCAGAGAGAACAGCAGTTATTGGAATCCATGGGGAATGGAACTGATTTCTCTGTCTCCAGTTCAGCTTCAACAGACACAGTTGCATCATCTTCTTCCTCTAGCCTCTCTGTAGCACCTTCATCCCTTTCAGTTTATCAAAACCCTGCTGATATGTCACGGAATAACCCTAAGTCTCCACAGAAGCCTATTGTTAGAGTCTTCCTGCCCAACAAGCAAAGGACTGTGGTGAGTCAGTTTCTATTCACATACTTGTAACCTCAATATTTCCTGTATCTTTCTCCCTCTGTATGCAAAAGTTAATTTAGGAGCTGAAAAAATACCTGCGCGGAGGTCAAAGAGGTAGCACAATTACTATTTGTGCTCTGCCAAACTCAGTTGTTTTGATATGTTGGATGTTTTCTAGAGGATTAACACAAAGATAGCCATTATAGCAATAATACAGAATACAACACTTTCAGGAGTTTTATAACAATGAAAATACCTGAAGAAATATTTTTCTCAAATCAGCTTTCTTGGTTAAATAGTAATATACCATTTTACAATGGTTAGCAGGGGGCAGGAAGTTCTGTTTCTTGTATTATACAAAATTATTGATTAGTTTAACAGGGCAAGATTGCGGAAAGTAAGTGTTTCCCGTGTTGTCGAGGTTACTAGCAGCAGTGAATGCTTTACAGCAAGTACCAGCCTCCTGCAGCTAAGGAGGGCTGCGCAGAATCGCTTGGGTGTTTTTTTTTTTTTCTTTTCCTCCCCACTCACTGTAGCAAGTATTTCATATTGGGACGCTGATGCTATCAGGCCCTGAGTAGAGAACTGGCTAGGGGAGGGTCATAGTTGCTATTAGGAGAGGCAAGAAGTGTTGCCTGCAAACTGCTCAAAAATTAGTGTTCATCAGTTTTGACAATGTTACAGTGATTCCTGGAGTCATGGAAGAAGAGTTGACTTTTTGCTGGCTATTTAATTGTCCGTTATAGGTGGGATTTTTTTATTGGTTAAGTGCTGCCAACTGAAAAGCCTTGATATGTGCTTTAGAATAATACACTGCAAACTGTGATACATAAAATTACTGACAAGCCATAGTCTAGGCTCTGTTCTGCAAGGTGGTGCATACTCCTCACTTAGAAGGGGAGCTGTGATTCCAGAGAAAGTGAGAGACGAATGGATAGCACAGCCAGTGTCCGTGTGAAACCAGTGCTTTTCGTAGCAGTTGGTCAGGTGTTGGCTGTCACTGGACTGTGACTGCCTGTGGAAATTGAGTTGCTGGCAAAGAGAAGAAAACATAAACTGAGTAGTGCTGGGTATTGGGAACATGTCCTCTCCCTTCCCCTTCTGCTTTCCTTCCATCCCTCCCCTCCCCCTGCCCCACCGAACAAAAGAGATCATAAGACTTATAGTGGGAACAACAGATTAAAGGGCAGTTGTTGTCACCTGATTTTTTTTTTTTTTTTAAATATTGCTAATTGTTAAAGATACTGCTAAAGATTGAAAGTAGTATTTGGTTTTCAACCTAGAGAATGGGGGTTTAATGTAAACTATGACCACTATGTAGATGTACAGTGTTAAGCAAGGTGATTTTGTTGTCTGCCTGTGAGGTATGGCTAGGCACTTTGTACTACCCACATTGTGAAATTTGGAGACTCTGGTTTCTTCATGTCTTCTGTCCCACCCTGTCTAGCTATTGAAGCCCCAGCCCCTGTGATGGGGTTGGCCCACAAGTTGGTTTTGTTTCTTTACTACAACAGGTCACAGTATATTGCTTCCTGCATTTCCTTTTCTGTCTCTCCTATGTGTTATTTCATCCTCTTCTCTAAGTCATATAGTATATTTCTACTCTTATTCTTTTCTCCTCATCTGCAATATTCCTCTTCTGCTCCTTCCCCTCTCTTTTTTTTCACCTCCTCCTCAATCCTTTTATCAGAGGTGTGGTAAGGCTTTTCTCAAGTCTGAGCTCTGTTTTGCTTTTGAAGGAATTATTTTATATAAATAATAGTTTATAATTATGAAATATACTACATCAAACTTGTAGGCAAGAGTGAATTTTTTTTGATGTTCAAATGTGTGTTTTTCACCAAGTTTTAAGTTATTTCTGATTACAAGTTAGGAAAAAGGGGCAACTGAATTTCAGTGTGAACCAGGTGATAAAATTTTGGGCCAGTACAGAACTGTCTTGCCTCATCCGAGACGTGGTTTTGTGCATGTTGCTGGTCCATTCTAATCAAAGTAAACCAGGTTGTCTTCAACCAATGCATCTTTAAGTTCTTAAGTAACAGTAACAGATCAGCTTGGTATGCTCAAAAATGTGTGTGAGACTGTGCTTTCCTGGACTAGTATTTCTTCTCACTTTTATTCCTTTTATTCCATTTTTGGTGAATGTTGTGATCCTGTATGTGATCAGTCATGCTCATTAGGAGCTTGCAGATTTAACCAGAGAGATTAAGTTCAAAAATGCCACCTTGTTTGTTGCCATGGCTTGACTAAGAGTTAACTTTCTAGCTTGAGGATGTGCTGTCATTTGATGAGGGAATTGTAGCACTTGGCAGTAGTACTGCAGCAGTGACTGGCAGCAGGGCGATAGGAGTTTTTGCCAGCACTGAATCTAGATGCTCTTTCCTGGTTGAGGGAGGCAAATGTGGTTTAAGTTGGGTGTAATCAGGGAGAGGCTTTTGCTCCTGTCTCCAGCTCTCTACTGGAGTCTAAACACCATTTGCCTTGCCAGTCTAGCCCTGCAGCTTGTTTCCAGCTTGCTAAATGTGGGACGCTAAGAGTAGAGCTTCAGGAAAACCTGTAGTCTTGTGCTGTGGTAATAATAAAAAAAAAAAGTGGTACTGAGTAGGAGCCAGGCTACTGGTGGAGGGAAGGTGCAAGTCCCTTTAGTCTCAAATCTGGTATAAGTGTGTCTGTTGATGCACTTACATAAAGGAACAGACAGATGCCTGCAGATGCAGGGAGGCATGAGCTACACATATGGGATCACTGGCTGGAAGCTCAGATTGACAGGATTTGGCTTCATATGCTGTATAGCAAGGTGGAAGTCTGCTGCAGTTGTACTAGGAGAGACCCATTTTTGGTTGAAATTGTTCTAAATAAGGAATTGGAAATGTATACTTGGGTCTGGTCAGCAGATAATGCAAATTAATGGTTCAGCTTTGGCTCAGGGAGAGAGCTGACTTCTTTTTACTTCAGTTTTACACATTGCTTGGATCTGGTTATGCTACTAAGTTGAACTTTTTTTTTTTTTAATAGACATAGATCTCTGTTTTAGAGCTGGGAGATGGTGCTTATAGGAACTCTGAGTGTTGGCGTTATTGGCTTTGGAGCTGAAGTTCATTTCTCTGAAACTTGAAACAGTGCTCATGTTATTGAGAAAGTCAGGAATTTCTTGTATGATGACTCTTAATGTAATTACTCTGTTTTCAATATTTATTGATCCTATACATAGTCTGTTGAAAACTAAGGAAATTCTGGAAGCAAACCCAGTTCAGAAGGAATTGCAGCTTACAGTGCAGTTTTAACTGCAAGTAGTCAGATGATAGGCTACCACCCCACAGTTTTCAGTGAATACTGAGATTACTTGCTGTAGTACACTTCCTTCATTCTCTCAATGGATGGAGAATTGTTGCACGTGTCTTAGTCTTTGTACATAACCTCTGGCTTTAAAAATAGACCTGACCTGTCTCACTTGTGCCCATTAACCGAGCCATTTGCTTATGTAGCCATGATGGTAGTTTAGGGTTTTCAAGTATACAGGATAGCTTCAGATGTGATGGGTTGAAGTAGGAAGGAGATTCCTTGTGAAAATACATAGTACCCGCCATTAGAGCCTTCCCCCGGCCCAAGTCCCCATTCCATACGGCTGTTAAAGCAAGGGTAAAATCTGTCCTACATCCAAGTATGTAGCTGGGAGAGGAGATACGCTCTTAAAGTTGCACTAAGCTTCCCCCCACCCCAACCTTAACTGCTTTCAGTTAATATCTACTTCTGAAAGAAATCTTTTTTAATATCACAATAATATTTTCAGTTTCTACCTCCAACCACGGACCCACTTCAGGAGGCAAGAAATCTTGTCAGATACTAGGGAGTCTTTGTTTATTTTTATCTGGGAATGCAATGACAGTTCTTTAAACTGACTTAATTTAAAGTGACTGGAATTAAATTGGTAATGCAGAACCAACCTCCTCATTTACATTTGATCATACTCTGAAGCAGTCCCAAGTACTACAACAGCCTTCTGCTACTTGTTTAGAGCTGTTAAAAATGCAGGAAATCAGATACTAGGGAGTCTTTGTTTATTTTTATCTGGGAATGCAATGACAGTTCTTTAAACTGACTTAATTTAAAGTGACTGGAATTAAATTGGTAATGCAGAACCAACCTCCTCATTTACATTTGATCATACTCTGAAGCAGTCCCAAGTACTACAACAGCCTTCTGCTACTTGTTTAGAGCTGTTAAAAATGCAGGAAAGGGCGGGGGGGGAGATGCTTACATTTTTGACTAGCAACTGCCTTGTTACTTGAGAGTTGTCTGTGTTTTTTGTTTATTAGTAGTATTGTTTGTGTGTAGGATCAGGCAAATACATCTGTTTGAGTTGGCATCAATTAGAAATATAATGGGAGGAAACTGATGGAGTACAAAGAAATAAGACCGTGTTGATCGGTGTAAGTGATTTCGTGCATAGGTGGTGTAACTAATGTCATGTACATGTCATGATAAAGCAGAGTGTTGGATAGAAACTTTTTCCTAATGTAGGAAAAGGTGTGAAGGTGCTCCCTTGAAAGCCTAGCCAGTAAGTGGTGGAGCCTGTTGCTGCTGAAGTCAGCATCTTGATTCCGCTGGCAACACAGCAGGGTTAGAACGTAACTTTTTTTGAAAGCAAAACCAAGTTTATTGCCATAATGCAGAGAGATAAATGACTGAAATATGTATACTTCCTCTTTCCTCAGTGGCATGGTTCAACTGGCAAGTTAAATGTCCTTTGGAGAAGCATTCTGCATAGATGTGACTGGGATAAGTCTGTGGGGGTTTTTTTTGTTGTGTTTTCTTCTAGGCCAGAGAAGGATGTTGAAAAATAAAAGTGCAAGATGGTAAAAGTCTACCTGAGATTGTCAGTTATTTTGCAGAACAAATCGATGATTTTTTTTTAGGGAAAAATTAGTTTAAAGCTTGTTTGGGTTAGGGATCTAAATGGCTGTGGGGTGGATAGTAACAAAACTGCTAATTAAGGGAGT